GGGGTCGTAACGGAATATTCTTTTTGAAAATGTGAACTGATTCAGATTCTGCATGCGGCATTGCACATTATTAAATTGAATATTTTACTCCAAAAACGTCCATTTGCTGTAACTTATACGTAAAGCGTAAGCAGAAAATGCAATATTGGCGGTTGACGTTTATAACGACAGGAGACAATGGGAGGGACTTTTTCATTTTGGCCCAAGGAGAATGGTTTCACTTTGTAGGAAATTTTATTGTTGGGCATATTTTACGTCTAGCATGTGAAAATGCCTCGAATACATAATAAACAGATAAAAGAATCTCTTGTTAGGGATGCGCACATTTAAGGTACTTTTTTACACAAGAAGAAATTAGACCTGAAAATAAGGAAATCGCATTAATTCAGCTAAACTATTTCCGACGTATGTTTACCTTTACATGCAATCCTGAACTAGACATAAAAATTAAAATACAATAATATACTAACAAATTTGCTCTAGAATTCAAGATCGTTTTTAGCACTCCCATCCTGCTATTCATCTAAGAAATCTCATGGTTGTGCATTCATGTAATTATGTTACATGTGAATAACTTTAGTATATCGTCCAGTAAGCACCAGCTGAAAAACAATATAGCCATACCTATTATATAACGTAAAATTACAAGTCCTTATACCAACAGCGTGACCTACTAGTTCGTTTGTTCCATTGAACTATATTTTTTTTGCGTTGATAAATCTTGACCACTCTTAGATAAGAAACGTAAATGTGATGATTCACGAACAATAATAAAGCTCTCTAACAGTACTTCTGTAAAATTAAGAAAGTTCCATAATTGGTGACTAGAAAAATGTCGAGGGGTATTAGTAACCTCAATGTGTTAATTATATTTGCGCCTTTTGTAGCATTAACATTAACCGGTACTTACCTCGTTCACAAACCCATGCGAGGATAAACGAATTATCCTTTTAAGGTACCTACCTACCGATCATAGGTTCGTGCATTTGGGAGACGAAACTTCTTATAGGTAAGGTGTGCGAGTACGGATTCTTTCAACCTGACTCCTGGTAGTATCTTTAACTTTACATTTGTGGTGGAAATTAAATTATTAGTCATTATTTTGTAATGGATAAATTTAAACAAATTATGCGTTCACAGTTTTTCTCATATATATTTTATAGTACTTTTACTGCAAAGCAATATTGCTTTGAGCGGTCCCTAAAATTTTGCAGCTCACAACATTCGCTCCTAGTGTACAATATCTATCTACTCATACACGTGATAACTTCAGAAGAAGCAACTATTGAATTCAGAGATTTAGATTTAGTAAATTTTCGAGCGAGATACAGTTGCTCAATCGCCGTATCTGTATAAATAAAAATGAACGTTTGTCTGTCTGTCTGTCTCTTATGCCTTTCCAAACCGTTTACCCGATTGCAATGAAACGTTAGGGAATGTTGGACGTATGCCCGCCAAGGTTTATGATTTAGTAAAACCCTGAAATTCCCATGGGGACGGGAACAAACGGGATTTCCCAAATGTGGTACGAAGTTCAGCGGGTCTGCTTGTGTAATCATGAAGATCTCCGAACCCATAGAAGGTATGACGATGGTCAAATTAGAGAAAAGACCTACTTCCGCAGATATACCAGAAAAACTAAAATTGTCGATTTCGCTGTTATTTTTTTCTGATTTTATTTGAACACGTAAACAAAAAGGAAAAACACTTTCTCAGGGTCACTTTTTGAGATCTACAAGACACAGTTTCGGAGAAATCATCAACTTTTGTTTTTTAGATGGCGCATAAAAAAGTACCTACGTACTGTATCTAGTAGCATTTTTTATTACGAAGCTTCTCTCCCAGTACGCATCCGTATCCTGGCACAATTAAAAAACTCAATTCTGCCTCCAAAAGGATAACTTGCCAAATTTTGAAGACACTTGAAAATTAACTTTATCACAGATCAGCAAAATCAGTATGAGACATCTATCTGGGTCGTTAAAGGGATCGAATGAACACACGATTTGCATGATTTCATATAAACAAAATTTATTCTACGATCACAAAGGAAAAAGAACATAAAATCGTCCTCAAACAAGATTGGAGTAGATAAAACAGTGCCCGAATAAACAAACCCCGCATATGAGATCGATTACAAAGTAAACAACATCAAGATATCTTAGATTACTTTTACAGTTTTCGGTTATAAATCCAAATAAAAAAATCCGGGCACTCAAAACAATAATTCACAATGCACTTATCCGCCGAGACGTAATGCACAAAACTGGCTCTTCTTAAATCTCTGCTTTGGACAGATTGCAGGAACGTTGATGGTATTCAAATCTGAATTAAACTGGCTGAGCGCAAACCTACGGTCGATGAATGGAAGGTTTTCCTTTTAGCATAGACGATAACTTCAATGAAAACTGCTACGTAGAATTTCTTCAAAAACTTCAACTTCAGCTAGGTTGGTAGTTTTAAGTAACACTTACTGACTTCTCATTAGTCAAAAACGAATTTTGTTTAAAAAACAACGAAAGACAGACACTTTGCCACCGACTTCTCTATTTTCAAAGGACAACAACTCTGCGTCAAACTTGAAAAAAAACTCCTACGACGAACAGCACTTCGGCCTCGAACTTAGCGACAAGGCTCCTCGTAACGGACCCCAACTCGCCCTCGAACTTGGCGAACGGCTTCTTCTAACGGACCGTAACTCGGTCTCAAAATGGCCGCTTCCATACGCTCCGGTTTTGAAACGGGCCTCCCTTCTTAAACAAATTTAAATTTCTTAACCAATTATCGACGCCGCGCCGCCTGGAAATGTTTTTCCGATTAAAAAGTAACCATCTCTATATAATCGTATTAATCTTTTATTAAAATAAACGAAAACCCAATAAATCAAATCTGAACTGTCACAAAGAAATTATCAAAACAACTCGTGAATGGACCTAAATCTCAACGTTCAACCAAATTGAATCATTTTCACTAGTGGAAAAGTGGAACGCATTATAAATTTTACGAGAAGAAAAACTGAGAAGAATGTGACAGGAACGGAGAGGAAATCAAATCGAACTTATGGCTAACATGAAAATCCTGAGAGCGGCTTATGAACTTGAAAAGGATTTAAAAGACAGTTGATTATAATTTGAGCGGAATTTAAGATCAAGTTTCCTTGAGTGAAACAATAAATTGTAGGGAAACTTGATGGAAGCGTGGGAAAGAATCTGATACGATGTTAAGGGAACAGTAAGAACTCAACGCCAAAGGTTGTGGAGTATTGAAGGAATTTAAAAACTCGAGAGTAGCTTTAAAATATAACTTCAGAAACGCCTAAGAGGAACTTTAGATAGAATCAGAGAACTTCAGAAGTACTTGAGAAATACATACAGAATCTTTGAGAATGAAACTTGAAACTTGGAAACTTTGACATATGCCTGGCGTCGCTGCGTAGATTAAAATTGTACCAACCCTAAAATAGTACCCTATAAGTGGTGGAAGTCAGTTCTCGTCACGCGGAGGTACGTTACGGAGGCGCTTTTCACCTATGTGAAATACAATCTCGATTTTTCAAAAATGAATTTGAAAACTTTTAGTAAATTTTGCAGCTGACCCACGGCTAATTCAGAATATAAATTTTACAGTGACATATTTACTGAAAATTCAAAACCTGTTATTCTAAATTGCTTGCTACCAAAATTAAACATAAAATTGCGTGTAGCTTTGCAAAATTGACGACAAAATTAATAATGAAACAGATCCACTTTACGTTCTCTTTCACAGGTTTTCCATTTACAACTTTCCTTAGGATTTTTTTATTTGAAGATATTGATTTTTTCGTGGCCACGGTCTTTTGAACTAACCCTAATTTCAATTCAAATCTAATAGCAATATACGGCAAAATTCTTTATATAAAAAATTAAACACGCCCTGTAAATATTCCCATTGAACTTATTCAGTGGGAACTTTTCTGTATTGAAATAAAAGTAACGGTAAATGAAAAAACTAATTAGTTATAACAACTCCCATGCCAATGAGTTCACCAAAATACATGAAATACCAAGGGCTTTAGATTGCCCGGACATTGGTATACTCATGTATGATATACAACGATTTTTTCTTAAAGATATACAACCCTTAATTTTACATAAATAAAATAACGGTACCTCATATAAAAATGTCCTTCTGTAGATGACGATGTTGAGATAAAACAGGTTAGGGGCGGTTATTCCTGGCCGATACAGGGCTTCCTGAAATTATACGGACTGTAAACTGGATCTTTCCGTCGGATACCTTTTCTTCTACGAATTTGTCAGGGAACCGTTGCCCTTTGGATAGTTTTTTCGGACTTCGAATGTTTATAGATTGCAAGCAAGCAAAATTTTTAATTACTACCAATTCGGTTAAACCTTGACCGGAAAACTATCTTAGCCACAAAATCCCTACTAAGATAAGGTTTACGTCCTATATCTCCGACTCACTGGACTTCCAAAACCATTTCTCTAAATTCCTCTAAATCGACTTATCAACAAAATTGGCCCAAAAATGATACAAATATTTTTGAAGAACTCAAAACGAGATTCTCATCGAGTGACACGGTGCACTGTGACCATATAAAACGGTTCATGCTCATTTTTTCAGTAACAAGAAGTGAGGAACTTTGAAATTCATAAAAACTTAATACATGTCTCCTTTAGAAATTGAATACATATATTGCACTCACTTGACATAAAATTATATTTATGCACTATGTATACATTGTACATGGCGACAAATCGATTAAGTTATATAAAAACTGTGTAAAATAAGGTAGCAAAGTAATACTAAAGCCAATTAAAATGCGCCTGATAAAATACATCCATAATGAGAAAGTGAGGTGTTAATGTAGTCGTTGTTTTGCATAATCGAATCATAAATCAGGCTAGTTTTTGTAATATTGAACGTAGAAGAAAAAGTACTCAGTTCAATTGGTAACATTGTTTTAAAGAGAGCGTAATAACGCTGCAACGTAACCGAGGGAGAGAGTGATGGTACAGAATGATATAGTCTCATTATAGGTAATATATAAACGTAATTAATCTTACTCTAATCGATTCTATATAACACGTTGCAAATTATAATAAAATAAGCTACAAGGTTCTGAACAGGATTTAGGTGTACCTGAAAACTGGCAAGCGATACTCAAACGTGATTTATTTATTATCAACAGCATGGATGAAAATGACTTTCATCCTCGTTTATATGATTTACGAGTTTTGTAACAACGTATTGTGAAACTGTTATAATTGAATTGCTTGTACTTGCACTACACTGAAATTATAATTTATGATTAGGGTTTAAAGCTGCCCATTTCAGCAATCAGATTAAGTGATATTACCTATATCATTAGTTTAATCGGGACTGAAGACACGTGCAGCGTCGGAAGTAATCTTGTCGAGATCAAAGGTAGCATTAATTATTTTATGAAACAAATTCCAGCGTTGTCAGTGTAGCGTAGTGTGTAAAGGCATGAAACAAATTTCTAATCAGAACAGTATAAGGGTGAATGTTTTCTACGGTTATTTTCGATTTCTGTTGTGGTAAGGCGTTAAGCTAATAATATTTTCTGGAATACAGACGCTAATAAATGTATAGGATAATACTATTTGGTACCTATGTGCAAAATCAGTTATAGGGTTGAATTCACGTTGTCGTCTGAGACTTGGGTACAATGTACATGCATTGTAGCTGTTTCTGCTGTCAATGAAGGGCTTCGGGTCTTCTTTTCCTTCGAACCGGCATGTACACTTGGCGAAAGATCTCGCCGTCCCCGTTAAATAGATAGGTTCTTGCAGCATCTTGAGCGTGAACGCCAGGCTGTGTTTCTTAAAAAATACAAAATTCAGCCGCGATATTAGATTTTGACTGATTTTAAATATGTTAAAATAGACACTACTTACAGTATATAATGTAATAAGAATTTGTGTTGCAATTTTGCCTAGGTTATAATTTGTTTCTACTGCACTGTACTCGGAACTAGTGCAGTTTACGTTTACATTCAATTAGTAATTATAGACTTAAAAACCTTTTCGAAATCGATTAAATCTGCTTGTGACGTTTAAGCATTTAATATAGCAGACCATGAAAATTACTAAGCTTCAAACATGAGCTAATTGGATTGCAATACGTAAATTAATAAATGGCGTTTTAGAATTCGCTTCCGTATAAAAACCATTTATTGACGTATGTGTTTTTTGTTGCAGGTATGTATCCACTACAGCGGTAATGTGGTAAGCTTTTTTACATTATCGCTATTTTATTGCGGATTTTTGCTTGTTTTATTGCTAAATACGATATTGATTAAAGGTGTGATAAAAATCAGATTACGAAAAGTGACCTAATTTCAATGAACTTGGTGAGCTACTTTGCTCATTGTGGAGATAAATGCATCTACACTTATTCTTGATTGCTTTTTACGAGCTTATTTCATTACGTTAATAACTAACACGCATAATAGTTTTTTACTTTAGAAATGTATACTGAAAAACGGAAAATTCTTTCATCTTTATGTTTCGTTTTACTGATTAGATTACCGAAAAAAGTAATTGGCCATTTATCGTATACACTATTTACGGCGAAAGCGTAAAATACGTTATCTTGCACTTAAATACAAGTATCCTGTACGAAAGCCACGAGTGCTCCAGTACAATAAATAAAAATTGAATTAATACAATATAAATTAAATTTAAACATTAATTTTATTGGCCAAAGAAACATTTTAACTAAATGTACATAAAATTAAGATTTGACAGGAGGATATTTACCGCTCGTTAGATCTAAGATGTACCTACTCCAATCTTTACGTTAAATGTAATTTTATTTGGAAAAAAAGCATGCACAATTAACAACAAAGAAATATGAACAGAATGTTATGTCATGTAATAGAGGGCAAACATTTTAGCTATTTCATGTTGAATTTTATAAAACAATTTGAAAAATAAACCACCGATAAACTGAAAATGTCAAATTTCGTTTTCATTTTCCCTAGCAAACGGTCAGAAATGGACGGTTCTCGTTAGCACCTTCTATGGGCACTTTTTCTTTAAGAATTATCAGAATTTTCATAAAACGCCAGATGTAGAAGCTAATACTTTCTTATTTCGTATAGGCGCCATATTGGATTTTTACGATATGAGATAGAGAATAAAAAAGAAAGATAATCGCGACGAACTAAACAATCATTATCGGAATAATAATTACTATTTAATTTAAAAGAAAAATACATAATACAAATTATAGTAATTAATATACCAAAATACATCTATGGGATGAACTCGTACCTACTAAAAAGAAATATCATGTTTATCAGTCCGCTGACAATCTTACCTCTTTAATAGGACGCAAGCAGTGAAAATAGGCAATTCAATATCTAATTTGGCTCATTTAAACAAGGAGTTCCCCACGGTTCCGTTCTAGGACCGCTCCTGTTTCGTATATACGTTAATGATATGCCGTACTTTTAGTACCTTTGGAAACATTCCAGCCCCAAGAGGTATATTTATTAAGTGACACCGCACGGGTGTAATGTCGTTAGTGATGTGCGTCAGTATAGCGCACAGAATTCGATCTCTTTCTACAGAATAGTTATTTTATTGTTGATTGACTTAATATTCGTAGTTTCTAAATTAATTATTCGTTTACTTAGCTCGAGATCTTCCTCACGTATGAAATAGGTGTACTGGCATAGGGTTAACAGTTAGGAAGGAAGTTGAACTATAACATTCGCGGTTTATCCTATTTTTGGTTATATAATTTCTTGTCTGTCTTGTAGGATATATGTACCTACTAGATTCTGAGATGCAAATTGTTTTGTTCAATTAGTAGAACAACGTTCAGTGGTAGTTGTAGAAAAATTGTAGTGTAGAACACGTTTTGAAGATACTCTTCTCACACGTATCCCTTTTACCAAAACATCATATTATACTCGTGTGAAAACTGCGCTTTTCACAAGTTGCACTATTTACTACTGTAATAACGACCGTATACACAAAAATTTTCATTCGTTTCAGATCGTAATCCTAACAGTTCATAGGTACATCTCTACAAACATGGATCTAACTAAAAAAATGTGTGTACACATAGTTAAGAACATAACCACAAGATAATATACACATCATCGGTACCGTAATATATAGTAGGTGTATTGGTGTATTTTCTAAACACCCACATTCTTAAGACAATTGTCTTGTTGAACCCGCAGACCACCATTGCGAACATTTTCTACTAGATGTCTTCAATGAACCAAGGAAACTGGAAAAAAGCTTAATTAATCATCACCTACATTCAATGAGGTGTATTGAATGAAGCCTTTCTATAAAGAAGTGCTTCAGGATTCTAAATTTCCGCTAATTTTAAAATACGTACATAATTATTCTTGTATATTATAACGGAAATTGTTTCACACAAAAACTACTAATTAACTAGACTTAATGCATCATAACTTCCTTTAATTCTGCACAAGTGAGTAAATACGTATATTGATTTAAAGTTATTCAGTGTAATAGGTCACTGAGAACATTTCTCATACAAAGATCGAATGTGTTCCGATACTTGGTGGAAAAAATGAAATCATAAGTGCGAGTATAATAAACTTTAATTATGCTTTATTTTTTAGGCGTTAATTATCTACTTTTTAATCAATGCCTAAATTGTTTCTAGGTCAAAGTGCTGTTAAAATCTTTAACAAGCAGGAATGGCTGACTTCAAACATAAGGATTAAGGAAATTAAACATTGGGATAAATCCTGTGCTGAATTTGTGAATTTTAATGACGAATTAAGTGAAATGAAGATAATTATGTTTGTTAGTAAATCACAGAGATTTGCTGTTTGCTGAAATACTCCACAGTTAAAGTAGGCGAAATAAAGTAAATAACTATCGATTCTACAAGTCTTTAAAAGTGAAGTGAAGAAGCAACCCCCCCCCCCCTCTATAAAAAGACAACTACGGTCGCGAAGCAATTGGTAATAAGTATACAAGACCACAAATACGTTGCTAAATGTGTAAAGTTGAAGGTTTGCTATAATTAATTGTTCGCCCCTAAAGCATTTATAGTTACAATTTCAAATTATAAAATAAAAGTACATAAAACCTGTCCGTTCTTCTGCAGTATAAACGCAGTGTTATCAAATTAGTAAGAAACCTCAGTTACCAAGAGTCGCCTTTATAATATTCTATTACACAACTTTATTTCTCTGCGTCCAAATCGCATTTTAATGACAGTAATCTGTGTTTCTATGTGCTGAAGATGTTGAAGCCTCCCTAAAATTAATAGATCGCCGCCAACTATACTTACCAATCGTGTATTACGTTGTTAATATGCAAAAAGATGGGCTATACGAGGCACTTAACTAATTGATTTCTTCGGAAATGTTTTAAATTTATCTAACCCTTATTTAGCTTTCGTAATAAACCAGGTGCTGACCTGACTTGGCAGCACAAATTAGTTTTATAGCGGTGAAAGTTACTAAAATTTCGAGGGCATTATGAATTATGAATTTAGGTTGGTATTGCAGTATATGTTGAGGATTGGTAAACTTCCAGAACATTTCCGCAAGGAAAAGTTTTGGTTTACCTCAAGAAAAATGACCAATAATGGTTTTGGAAAAAATCCTTTTACGGTGTCGTCGGACTTTTCTTGTTAGCACGACAGTCTCTGGTATACGTATTATTACTAAATATTGTTTACGATGATACATAGATGTACCTTATTGATTTTGACCTCAAATTGAAAACCACTCCACTTTTCGGGAAAATTTCTAAGAATTTAGCGAATCAACTTCATTATTTGTGGAGCGATTTTTTAAATTTCAGCAGCGATTCCTATTAACAGCTAACATCTCAAAAACTGGTTTTCTTATTGGGAAAATGACGAATGTAGTCGAGTCAATCAATTAATACTTGCTTGATAGTGTGTATTCAGGTTGATTTCGAGATTCAACATATTATAAGTTTGGGCACAGTAGCCAGAGGTCCATGAGTATGTAGTATATTTAACCCCCAGGTTCTACGCTTCACACTACAAGAACACGGAAATAAAATCAACTTGGCAACGTTTAAAGAGGGCTACCTCAATGGCTATTTCCTCCCAAAGCTGACCAGAATTCCTCTTGAATTCGAAATTAGCACGTCATCAAAAATCTAAAGCAGGGCCCCCTTACGTTAGTTGTAAACAACGCTATGACCTGAAGTACAGTAAGGAAGGAACGTAAAATAAAACACTGAAATTGTGCAAAGCATGTGTAATAAGTTAATAACTAATAATTGTTGCTCATATTATGGCGATTAACAAGAAATTGTGTAGCAAAATTAATGGTTTGTAATGATTTTAAACCGAAGACTTTTTATTAGCAGAATCTCGCCCCGAAGTAGATAACTCGCCCCTTGTTCGGTGGTCGAGCGTACAGTTGATTCTCAAGATCAGTCCCGGTATTGAGTGTCGTAAGAAGTCGGTACACATACGCACATAAAACAATGCGATAATTTCCACGAGTTTAAAAGAAGGATCAAAAATATAAATCGAAGTTGAATCCAAGACCATCTAATCGAAACTTAAACAAACATTTAGCAAACATTACGCCAAAAATGAACGCGGTTTTAAACAAAAGGTTAACGCTATCAAACACGTGAATCTGCACAGGTTAAATCAAGTCACCTTAAAAATCAAAGATTGAAAACTCGCAAAAAAATAAAATGCTGCATACAAAACACAAATTTATAAGAACCAGTGCGGGCGTACTTTATTAAGAAACATGTATATAACTTGAGAACCACCAATTTTAGGTATGGGGCAATGCCATGTCAATACAATGAAAATTTTGTCTAGAATTAATATCAGAAATAAAAAAAAGGATATTCCATTTGACAAAGAAACGTATCTTAATAACATGATTGTCATTTAAATTACGGAAGTTAATACCTACTTTCGGTATAACTGTATCTTTTCGCCTTTCCCATATAGGACACTTTAAAAGAAAGACCCTGTATAGGCGG